GCCTCCATGTTTTGACGTTCTCTGAGTGTCTCTGCGCGTTATTTACATGGAAAACAGTTTGTGCCCTTTACTTTGCTCTTCCTTTTCCTTCTATACCCTGCAGTCTGCATTTCTCTCAGCCCTTATCCAGAACAGACTGGAGGGCAATAGTAGGGAAGCCTGTGCTTGTGGCTTTATATCTCCCAACCTTAATATCTCGTAGCTGCAATTCTGTTTCTCATAGTTGCTACTTTATATCTCATAATGTGACTTTATCCTCCAGTGTTTTTATATCTTTCAGTTGTGACTTTTTATCATGCAAAACAATTTTTTATTGCACAATGTGATTTAATTTTGCAATTGTGACTGTTTCTTGTGATTGCGACTTTGTATCTCACAATGTGACTTTCTCACATTGCTCACAATTGAAACTTTGTTTCTTGACTATATCTCAAAGTTTGTTCGTTTCTTGACTATATTTGACAGTTGCATATTATAACTTTATATCTCAACCTCGTTTTTCCAAAATTGCGATTTTATGTCTTAAAGTGTGACTATTACTCACAATGTGACTTTTTATTGTGCATTGTAACAATATTTTAGAACTGATTTATGTAAATATGACTATATCTCATTGTTTGACTTTCTCACAAATAATCTATATATCTCACAACTGAAACATTGTTTCTTGAAATTCTGACTATATCTAACATTGTGACTATCTTGCAAGGTGTCTTTATATCGCAATTGTGACTATATCAGAGTTTGACAACGTTACTTTTTTAATTGCACAATGTAACTTTACATCTCAACTTTGTTTTTCACAATTGCGATTTAATATCATAGTGACTCACAATGTCACTTTTTATCGCACAAAGTAAATTTATATTTCCAAACTGTGACTTTCTTTCTCGTAATTGTGACTCATTGTGTGACTTTCTTGCATTGTGTCTTTATATCACTTAGCTGGAACTTAGTTTATCATAATTGTAAGTATATCACATTGTGATATCTCGCAAAGTGTCTTTATATTTTGCATTTGTAATTTATTGATCAAAATGTGACTATATATTTTTTAATTGTGCAATTTAATTTTATATCCCATAAATTGACTTTATGTTGCTATGTGTTGGTCTGGTTGAGATAATTTACACTACTCGGGAGACACAACATATGAAATGGTTACTTTAGCCACCACTGCCTATTCAATTGAAATAGGAAAATCATTTTAATAGAATTGCAAGAATGACACATTCCAGATCTAAAAATACCTCAAAAGTCTTCCTAAAATCACCTCTCCAGTTTTTTTCTTCTTCTTCAGTGATGTTTCTTTAGGGCTCAGTTGACTCAGCAATTATATTACATCTTTTGTTGAAACCAGGAACCACAAAATCAGGCCTTAAAAGTCAGCGCACCACTGGGGGTGATTCATTTGAAAGCTAACGATTACAGCAATCCCAGAGTGCATTAAATGACCAAGACAACAATGTTGACCTACATTGTGATGTTATTGAAATCTGACCCAACAACTGTTTTCTTAAAAGGAGCAAAGCTTAGCAGGGACAGATCGTGCATGATCGTGACTCATTACTGCACTTTCACGTGCTTCCCACATCCTGAGTTTTAGAAGCATGTATTCAGTAATGCTATAGCTGGCTCCTGGAGGGACGCTCCTGGCTCTTTCTCTTACATGCACTCATACAAACATGCTTACACAAACACACAGATTAGCAGCCACATCATGTTAGCCAGAGGGACACACACTCATCAGTTTGTTTGTAAACAGCAGATTAGCGCACGGTAAAAAGTCGTACACTGGGTCCCTGAAGGGAACACACACACACACACACACACACACATTGAAAGAGCAAAGATATACGCACACACTTATATAGATTTATAAAGCTCAGTTTTGTTTATCTCTCTTCAATATCACCATAAGTATACATTTTTGTTTTGCACAATTTTGTTACATAACCTACTTATCTTTTGTTTTTCAAAATCACATGCTTAGAGAGAAAAATGAGACTATGGATATATAATGCAAATAATATATAGAATAGAGAGATTAGGTCAAATCCCAAAGAGATAATGCCATAATATTATTTGAAGAAGGTTGTGGCATAAGGTGGTCTCCAAAGACCCCAATAATACCCTTACATTTCTGCCTGCAATAAAATACAAACATGCAATCTTGCACTGTTCTACTATTTGTTTCTTTTAAACTATTATTAATTTTCTGCATTCCTCTGGGATCACTTTCCACTCCAATATTGTGGATATGCTGCTCCAATTTAGCAATCTGGACAGAATAAAAAAACTGTGTGGCTTATTGCCGGTTCCTGGAACTCAGGATGACAAATTGAAAGGATTAAATCAAGCAGGGACTCAAGAGGGCCCAAGAAAATGGTCTTTTCTTTTGAGTATCTGAAATTATTTTAACAACTCCATCAGCCTCATTCCAGCATCATATAACCCACTTTATATCTCACTGATTTTGCTGATTAAATATCGAAGCAACAAAAGACGAAAAATGCTGTTAGACAGTAGCATTTTGAGCTCATCAGAATCGTGATTCTGTGCTTATTGTCTTTCAGATGCCACCTAAAGTAGCTAAGCATGTGCTGAATGTACCACTGATATCAGCAAGTAGCATGATAAATTAATTCTCCTTTAGGTTGTGCAAAGAGTACAAAGAAAATATGTCTCCGTTACCTGGGAAACCTGCCAAAAACTGGAAGGATCTGAAATATGAATTAACAGCAGCATTAGGAAGGAAAAAAAATAACTGACAAATAGAAAAAAACAAATAATCACTATGGGGTTTTTCCAAAAGGTTTATTAATTATAGAGGAAGTTGTATGTGATCAAAAACAACAGAGTGTAAGAACAGAATCCACGTATATACTTAGAATGTCACTAGAGCACAGAATAGGTTGTTTTATGTAATAATTTCTTCATGGGGGGAAAAAAAACATCAAAGTGCCCTATATACGATAATTCAAATAGCCTATACCATGTATTTCAAGGCACTTGAATGCTGGTACTCTGCATCTGGTGCAACAACAATTTCATGTAATCATCAGGTTATTGCTACTGTAATGATCACAGATGGGGAAACTTAGTACAACATGTTTTAAATTGCATCCTGATCAAATACTTGAACAGAACAAATCAATTTGAACAACTCAAGTGAGCAAAAATGCTTAACAGATGAAGCAAATCTATAAGCAGTTTGAATCTTTTAAGCAAAAGAAAGGAAGGACAACCTAAAGGTGCCAAGTAATACAACAATAATTATCTTTCCAATAACACTTAATGGTTTTAAAGACATAATACACAGAAATATCTAATTAAGTCTTAAAAGATTTGGTCTTTCTATATAAAACCTGGAAATAAAGATGGGTTCAAGTAGCGAACATGCATAGCCTCTAGGTAGTGTGAATAGAAGATGAAAAAAAAACTACAAAAACAAAACAGACCATTCAAACATCATCTCCTTCAACAAGTAACATCAGCCACAAGCCACAGCTGTGTTTGTGCTCAAACAACACCACCTCAGTTTCACACAAGCTGGAAAAGGCACTAAGAATGAGAGGTACAGATTGAAGCACTGAAGCACTAATGAAGCTCTCATGGCTTAAAGCTACAGCGCATTTCATTTTACACACAAAATCCACAAACTGCCATAATAAATCAAGAGGTGTACTTATATCCGGTTTGCATAGAAATCATAACTTTCACATCTGAATTTACCCTTTAACCAGAGGGGAAGATCCCTGGGGCATCACTGCAGCACACTGATATGACTGGAAATTTCCTGAGGTGTTGACTCTCTAAACCTCGAAATGTATAATGGCACTCTATAGATATACAGGTGCATCTCAATAAATTAGAATGTCGTGGAAAAGTTCATTTCAGTAATTCAACTCAAATTGTGAAACCCGTGTATTAAATAAATGCAATGCACACAGACTGAAGTAGTTTAAGTCTTTGGTTCTTTTAATTGTGATGATTTTGGCTCACATTTAACAAAAACCCACCAATTCACTATCTCAACAAATTAGAATACTTCATAAGACCAATAAAAAAAAAACATTTTTAGTGAATTGTTGGCCTTCTGGAAAGTATGTTCATTTACTGTACATGTACTCAATACTTGGTAGGGGCTCCTTTTGCTTTAATTACAGCCTCAATTCGGTGTGGCATGGAGGTGATCAGTTTGTGGCACTGCTGAGGTGGTATGAAAGCCCAGGTTTCTTTGACAGTGGCCTTCAGCTCATCTGCATTTTTGGTCTCTTGTTTCTCATTTTCCTCTTGACAATACCCAATAGATTCTCTATGGGGTTCAGGTCTGATAAGTTTGCTGGCCAGTCACGCACACCAACACCATGGTCATTTAACCAACTTTAGGCGCTTTTGGCAGTGTGGGCAGGTGCCAAATCCTGCTGGAAAATGAAAGCAGCTCCTTGTGAAGTTCACTCAAATTCTTGCATCGATTTTGCTTGACAATCCTCATAAGGCTGCGGTTCTCTCGGTTGGTTGTGTATCTTTTTCTTCCACACTTTTTCCTTCCACTCAACTTTCATTTAACATGCTTGGATACAGCACTCTGTGAACAGCTAGCTTCTTTGGCAATGAATGTTTGTGGCTTACCCTCCTTGTGAAGGGTGTCAATGATTGTCTTCTGGACAACTGTCAGATCAGCAGTCTTCCCCATGATTGTGTAGCCTAGTGAACCAAACTGAGAGACCATTTTGAAGGCTCAGGAACCCTTTGCAGGTGTTTTGAGTTGATTAGCTGATTGGCATGTCACCATATTCTAATTTGTTGAGATAGTGAATTGGTGGGTTTTTGTTAAATGTGAGCCAAAATCATCACAATTAAAAGAACCAAAGACTTAAACTATTTCAGTCTGTGGGCATTGAATTAATTTAATACACAAGTTTCACAATTTGAGTTGAATTACTGAAATAAACAAACTTTTCCACGACATTCTAATTTATTGAGATGCACCTGTATATACATAATTTCAGATTTTCCCAAACTGTATGTATTGTAGCTTTAAGAACAGCTCGAACACTTTCTCATCGAATATAAAAAATGTCTGCATATCCTTCTTAGTAAAGTGTCAATGCAACAACAAAGAAGAAATTTGCATTATGATATTGTCCATATATAAAATTACGAAAGAAAAATGATTCTCCCTAAATGGTTTTCCTAGTTCTAATAATACTTTCATGTCTATCTATATCTTACGTGATACTACAATAAATCTCTACTCTAACTAATACTACAATAAATTCACAATTTGAGGATATTTCAAATATCGGTCACCAGGCTGTCTCTCATCAGCCCTAAAAGTCTTAGATCAAATTAGATAAAATAAAACACAATTCCAACATCCTTTCAGCCCTGATTGTCACACTGTAAATCTAATCTGACAGTTTTTCCTCTGAGAATTTTTATTTAATACCAAACGATTCTCAATCTGCCGTGACATTATTGCACAATTCACTGTGCATATCTAAATACATATATTTTATCCTTAGACCTTTTCACCATTTTTACTCATGATATACAAATAAATGAGATAGCTGAGCGCAATTCGAAAAAAATAAAAATAACACCAAACCACAAAAAAGTTCCAAGCGCAGAATATTTCTTGCTAAATCCACTTGAATTGAAGTGGTACACTGAGGAAGAAACCGCACTGAATGAACCACAACGTATTTAGGCTTCTGAGCTACTGAAGATCATTCACAGTCCTTAAAGGATAAAATACTCTTCCCATTAGATTTCATAAGCATACAATAATATACATACACACTGTCCCAGAGAAAGTAAATGTAGCTCTTTGGTAACTTTCATCTCAAAGGGTGAATTCAGAAATGTAAATCGAAAGGCTATGCATTCACAAACATACACCTGTAGAGTATGTACACAAAAACATACCGATGAAGCAGGTGTGATGCATAAGTCAAGGTGAAGGTCCAGGTCTTTCTATACTGACTTGTGTACCTTAGCAAACATGAAACCTCTAATATCACAGCCGCCATAAGGAGATTAAAAATATGTTTAACAAGCTTGAATGATGCGTAATGAAAACTTCCAATTATTTCATAAAGCCATTGCAGAGAATGTATACTTGTGTGACTTCATGTGTTACTAGTAGCTCTATGTGAACGTGTATTTGGAAAGTGACAATATCACGCAAAGATTAAAAATAAAATAAAAGCTGTAGGTTGGATACATACTGGAATGCACAGCGATCCCTTTTTCGAGGTCCCCTAGCATTGTCCCTTTTTAGAGGCAGATTCTATGATGTTCTGTGAGGGTTTCTTAACATCCCACTTCCCAGTTGAACAGCGCTGTGAACATCAGTTAGAATCTAACAGTCTTGCTCTATATGTTAAGGCCTAATTCGTTTACAGCTGTAGTGGGCACTGGTGAATACATCTGCTAATAAAAATGGTTGGACAGAAAAAATGAGTGCAATTTTAATACAAGGCACAGTGTGTGGAGGTGCATGAGCGACAAGACAAGTCGTGGCCCCTTAAGTGGAATGATAGCTTTATGTGTACATGTGCATTTGTCTGAGCATAAATATTAGTGTGCAGTGATGTGACAGGATATGGTGTTTCTCAGGCTTTGATGAATGCAGGAATATTAGGGACCTGCATGTAGATATGTGTGTTACTCAGAGGTCAGTCGTAGCCTTAGCAGTGAGGGCCTGGATGCGAATGGTGTTACAGTTTTTGCAGAGAACATGGCCATCCAGAGGGTAGCAACCTTGGTTGTCTCCCTCAGAGAGAAGACAGCCACAATCCTATAGTGAGGATACACACAAAATAGTTTTAAAAAAGGACAAAACTGTCAGTACAAAACTTCTATTTCCAAAGACATTTAGGAATTTTTTAACCAACCACCCCAAGGGCTTTCTCTCACCTCACAGCGATAACACTGCACATGGAAGTCACGGTCTAAAGCCACAATACGCACTGTCTCCTCCTGGCCAGGTGCTGGCATTATGGGCTCTTTACACACAGAGCAATGAGGGGCAAATTTCCTTGAAAAAGGGAAGGAAAAAGAGTCAAAGACAGATCACAAAAATTATCTCTAGGACAGAGATGCTGGCTTGTGACGACCTTTGATACAAGTGAATTTGATTAAAAAAATAATACTATACACTATTCAAAACTTTAAGGTCGGTAAGAATTTTGTTTAATTAAATGAATACTTTCATTCAGCAAAGACACATGACATTGATCACAAAAGTGACAGTAAAGACATTTATTATGTTACGAAAGATTTCTAAATAAATTCTAATAAATGCTGTTCTTTTGAACTTTATATTTTGGTTTCCACAAAAAATATAAAGCAATGCAGCTGTTGTCTAGATAGATGGATGGATGTTTTTGAGCACCAAATCAGCATATCAGCATGATTTCTGAAGGTTCATGCAACATTGAAGACTGGAGTCATGACTGCTGAATATCCAGCTTTGCAAACACCGGAACAAATTATGTTTTAAATATATTAACATAGAAAACTTTGTTAATATAATATTTATTTAAACTTTATTTTAATATAATATTATTGTAGTATTATTGTTTTACTGTATTTTTGATCAAATAAATGCGGTCTTGGTGAGCATACAAAAACTTGAAAAATCTAAATACATTTTTACAAATCCTACCGACCCAAACTTTTTGATGGACAGACCATCAGCCATCAATAAGCTAATATTACTACCCAGCGGAACTTATTTCAAAGACACAAATGTTTTAGAAAGCTCCACAATGAATACATTTGTGTGTCCAGCAATTTGAGAACACAGGACAGGAACAGAAAGAGATGAGGCGATTATGTGTACACAAAAGCAAATCAGTCAGGTGATTCACTTCTTCATTGGGTTTTACCAACAAACAGTAAAAAGGGGGAAGTGCAGCAGATGGTGGCCTAATTATACCACAATAGTAACAATGAGTACAATCCAGGTACAGCCCAACTGTTCCTCGACACAATAGCATTTCTGTTGTGATCATATTCTCACAATCCCATATTCCTTCTGAAACCTTTCAATTCCTTAATACATACAAAAAAGCTGAACAGACTACTTAAAAGTCATATTTCCTGTAAATGAGATGTTAAATAGTTTTGAATGTCATATCTGAACCCTAAAATAGCTTTCAGTATTTTATTAAGTTTAAGTCATGTCATTGAGTTTGAAATAACAACATGTTATGTACTAAATGTGTTTAAATATTTGAAGCATATTTGTGTGCCTGGTCATACTTGTGGAAGTCTTCAATGCAGTGGATGTGGTTGGAGGCGTCCACAGTAAAGGGAATACCATCCAGACTCCGATGGCAGACCACACAGATGAAGCACTGGGGATGATAGGCCTTCCCAGTTGCACGCAGGATACGCTCCATTATGGGCTTACTACATATGTTGCAGGTCTCCAGGGTGTTCTAAAATCCAACACAGAGAAACAAAGATCTTTCATAACGTACAAGCTCAGCCAAAGCAAACTGAGATAGATTTACACTACCGGTCAAAATTTGGGATCAGAATGAATTTTTTGGAAAGAAATTAAAACTTTTTTATGGCAAGGATGTGTTAATTTTTTAAAAAGTGATAGCAAAGATATGTATTTTGTTAGAAAAGATTTATATTTTGAATAAATGCTCTTCTTTTTAACTTTTTATTCATCAAAGAATCCTAAAAAAGTTTCCAAAAAAAATATTTGGCAGCACAACTGTTGCCAAAATTGATCATTCTAATAATAAATCAGCATATTAGAATGATTTCTTAAGGATACTGTGACACTTTATACTGGAGTAATGGCTGATGGAAATTCTGCTTTGCATCACAGAAATAAATAATATTTTAAAGGATATTAAAGTTGACATATTATGCCCCTTTTTACAAGATGTAATATCATTCTCAGGGGTCCCCAGAATGTAACTGTGAAGTTTTAGCTCAAAATACTACACAGATCATTTATTCTATAATTTTGCAAATGCCTATTTTGAGTGGAAGCAGAAACACGCTGTTTTTCGGACCTGTCTCTTTAAATGCAAATGAACTGCTGCTCCCTGCCCCCTTTTCCAGAATAGAGCTGCACCATTACAGCTTGTACCTGCTAAAAAACATCTGTTTTGGTTCTGATTATTATGTTTATCGCGCTGAAATCATGAGTTTTAAACCATATGAGTTTAAACTTCTGATATACAGTTTTTTTAGTGCACACATCTGAAGCATACGGACAGAAAGTGGCTGTCACAGCATGTGAGTACTAAACTAAGTTCTCATTCACACTAGGATTTAGCACCGACTAGTCGACTTCAAGACGCTTTAAGCTTGACGTCGACTAGTCACTGGTCCTATAGAGGGCGCAACAGGATAAGAAATCTTTGAAGGACTGCCACATTTACGCTCCGTTTCCAAACAGTTAAAATGACAAATAAATGCATACTCTGAAAGCACTCAACAAGACATGTGTGGTTATATTATTGGATGTTCGAAGTTGAACAGGAGAATGCATGTTTTAAACAGCTTATTGTACAGGTAAGTTAATCGCCGTTCTAATCTAATGCGCTGCTGCACTGTAACGCACACACATAGGCTTCAGACAGTAGCTCGTACATAACGCACACATCGCGCGTGCACACAGAATCATTCAGCGCTGAAACATATTGTCAACACTGTTCTGTGATTTCTCAATAAAATAGCTTAGAAACTGAAAAATTCAAGCATATATTTCTTAATAACCAAATCCTACAGCTTCACTTCTAGTAGACATTTGACTTACTTTCTTCCAAAGGACACATTTATTTCCATTATCTGTTCTTAACCCTTAAACGGCCGTTTGTCACCATTAATGGGTTAGTTCACCCAAAAATGAAAATGGTCATTAATCAACCCCATATCATTCCAAACCCATATGACTTCCATTCATCTTTCAAACACAAATAAAGATATTTTTAATGAAACCTGAGAGATTTCTGTCATATGTTGTATGTTCTGTCATATGTACTGTATGCGTGTTGATCAATGTTTACATGTGAATAAAGAAAGAAAGTTAAATCTGTTCATCACATTAAACGATAGTGTCTCTTCTGAAGACATCTTACAATTTTATAATACGATTACTTTTACAATGTCTTCATTAACTTTTTGAAGCATGAAAATTTTGGTGTAATGGATAGACAGACATCTGTCAGGTTTCATTAAAATGATCTTCATTTGTGTTTGGAAGATGAAAGTCTTATGGGGTTGGAATATGAGGACAATTAAAATTTTAGGGTGAACTAAGCTTTTAATTTCATTGTATGGAAAATAAATTGCTTAGGCATACTGATAGATAACTACTTTAGTGTTCCTCACAAGAAACAAAGTCAAACGGGTTTGGAACTAAGGTTAGTAAATGATGACAGAATTTACATTTTGGCCAAACAGACCCTTTATATCTGTTATCTATCAACATTTAATAGATTTCCGTAGGATAATGTGTACATCCAAATGGTTGTCACAAGTGCACCTCTGTCCTCAAATGCCTGAGGGAAAAGGGGGGAGGTTCTCATATAAAGTATATATAGTGAGCAATGGAATGAAAGTGAGATCTGATTAGCTACTCTCTGATTCACAAACAAAGTCATTTTTCACTCTTGCTTTCGTACTGCGAGAGGCGCAGCAGTAATATTTATCCAGGTTGGAGGATAAAGTAAGACAAATCTTTTAAATAATCATATATTTTTTAAATACAAAAAAAAGAAAAAAGTAAAAAATACTAGTTTGTGACGTGTAAAATCAACTGTGAGTGTCCTGTACGCTTCGTGTGAGGAACGGCAGTTATGTGACACATGGTGTTCCTGCCAATGTACTGTACAGTGTTACAAATCTATCACTTATGAATATATCCGTCACTTGGAACAGATCTGTAGTATATAGAGTTTTCAGCTGCATGGACAGAATTTACTGGAAAGAGTCCCATGTATCAACACAGCCAAATCCTGTTTGCACTGCCTGTGCACTGGGATCATTTCCCATGCTCTCGGTTCACCAGCAAGTTGAGGCTGGGGTCAAAGGACTTGGCCCTGAGCTCCTACGATCTGCTCATCATTATTCGATCAAGGCCAAGGCTCAATAAGGTACACTAATTTGTGTCATTACTTTCACGAGTATAACAGAAATTAACATTATTTCCCAGAGCAACACTTGTGTACAAACAATGTCCGTTCCACAATCCTCTGCAAATCCTGGAAACGGATAAAGCCTTTAATAAGCTTGCTGCTGAGAACCCTTGAGGCTTGTCTCATAACTCTGAGGCGAAGAAGAGGGGGAGGGGGAAATATATAGAAAGACAGACAGTTTGTATATAGCCTTTAGGAACACAGTGTAATGTTTAACCCGAGTCTTTGCTCTTTTATAAAGGACTTGAACCAGAGTCTGGATCCCTGCTGCTTACAGCTTTCTGAAGAAACATTCAAAAACAGGCCGCTTTCACACTTCAGAGAAGATTTCTCACAATACGTTGTGCCACAGTCATCGTACGAACAGAGTGACAGTGAAGTCTGGGTCAGTCAGACTTCCCATCCCCAGCACAGCTTTTCATTTTGCTGCAGCTTTTATGTTGACGTCAAAGCAGTTTGGATTTACATGCTGAGGATTTACTGTCCGGTAACTTTCAAAGATGGTTTAGGAAAATCTGTACAGAGCACCGCTAATGGCTTCTCTGGTGGAAGAATAATGGCTTGGAGAGCCACTAGAGGGCACTAAACGTCTACTCATGCTCTCAGTTTACTCTTCTCTGCTTCCTGAATGTAATATATTCACATATATTCCTCTTTTTTCAGCTTCATACATTTCTCTAAGTGTTTGCCCAGAAGGCTAAACAAACGTCTAGGCAGATGAGGTAGAATGAATTTAGGTCAGACAGCATCTTTCTGAACAAAAGGGTGAGTGGAGAGCACTGAAGTCAATTGCAGCCTCTTCTTTCCCTTGTTGCTTTTTAAATTTCCTGACAAAGTGCTCCAAGTTAATACTTTCTCTTTCTTTCTCTCTTTCTTCCAGCCACTCTTCTTTTTGTGTGTGCAGTACAGCTAATCTCCAAACACAACAAAGAATGCCCTAACAGGGAAACTTCGCGTAGTGCTGGACATAAGAATGACTAAAAGGCTTTGCATACACAAATGATGATACTTATTTGAAGACTGGTCTAAATAAAGAAAGCAGACTGTCTAGATAGGATGCAATAAAAGAAGGTGAAATGTGAAGAAAAACAAATCAATATTCATGAAGGAAAATCAAATATGCTCTGTGTATACTGTAAGCATAAACTGACAATTCATGGTGCTCTATGTGAATTAAAGCAAAACACTCTGAAGTTACTGGATGTCTTCTTTGATAGGAGGCTTTATCAATTTTACATGATTCTCAATTATCTTGGTGGCATGGATTTATTTTGCGCAGAATATTAAAACACCTGTACCCTTCAATGTCACTCTACCAACTGCATTTACCTTAGAAACTGTATCCAAATATCTTCTCAAGTCTAAATAGTTTTAAAACCAAAATGGGCTTTAATACTTATTTTCGAGCAATACCCTGAGTCGTTATAAATATATCATGCAGTATTTCACATAAAACTTTCTGATTGTCTATTGGCACCAAAATTAAATTTTTATATGTACATATGACAACTTCACATTAGAGCATCTGTATGCGATATAATATATAGACGCCCCCCAGAAAATAAATAAATAAATAAATAAATAACTTGGACAATTGTGAGGATCAAGATAATCAGATCATGAGGTGAATTTATATTTGAAAAAGTAAAACTACGAACTCACTGACTGTAGCTGAGAGGTCAAAGGTCAGTAGGCTGCTCTGAATAGTTGACTCATTGACTAAAGATCTCATATTTGTTTCAGCTGAGTGTGTGTATATATAAAATTACTAGGGCTGTCATATTATTAAAAAATGTTAATTTAATTAACAGCATGATTAATATACATAGCACATAAACATCTTGGTAAGTATGGGTTGGGGCTTTATATGCGGGTCAGAAGACATGAATAATTGCACAATTTTTATCATATACTGTATATAAATTTTAAATTAAGAAAACTGCATAAAATTATCAGCCATAAAAATTACAGGCATATATATATATATATATATATATATATATATATATCTTAAGGAATGGGGATGACAGCTTTAACATGTCTCGATAGATGGTAATGGGTGACAGGTCGACAGAAGGCCCTTAGCATTGAGCGGACTGAAAACCAGCCTAGTACCAAACTGCTGCTTTGGATCCCTGGGACTGTGAGGTGCTCAGGGAAACTATCTTTTGAACTGCTTAAATAAAGAGAGTTAAAGGAAAGAGAGCTACAGGGGATTGGACATGAATGCAGAGGCACTGAGCCAAGAACTCTCTTGCGTCTTTTCCCATGACATC